TTGGTTTTCTCTACCCACCATCTTTGAGGATGTGCCAAATTAGCACCAGTCAACCCTGGGTATCAGAGTCTTCAGAATGAAGACCCATGTGCTGAGCATAATGGACAAAGCTGTCAAGATCTACCTCAGTTTACCTCTCCACTGTTATCCAAGTCCTGGGCATGCCGGAAAGACCCTTCCCCTCTCTACTTCTTGCCATTTCACCGCCTGAGCTCTGATTCCTTACAGATGCCTGAATGACCCATAACCTTTCTTACATCCGTGATTTCCCCCTCTCTCTTCTCCTCTGTCTAGACACCCTCCTGTCCACCCCTCTCACCTCACAATCCACCACCCCATTGCCCACCATTTTATTCTGCTAACTCTTAATTTTCTTTCATAAGTTTTACTACAATGTCAGCTCCTCTAGGAAACTTCCCTGAAACCCCAGGCTCACCGTTTCGTCACCCTCCATCCTCAGCCTTTATATGAATTAAATGCCCTCCTTTCGTGTTTCCTCAGCAGTCTGAGATTCCTTTCTCGTTACACTATCAATCAGGGTCTCAGAGGTAAGAGATACTACACTCCAATTAGGATGATTCAAGGAGGTGTACGAGAGGTGCAGGGGAACCCTAAGGGGTGGGGCAGGAACCGCCAGGTTAGTAACGTTGGAGCTGGCACCAACTCCAGGTCCAAATAGGCAAGGAGAGAGAGTAGTCACCAACACCAGGACAGAGAAAACCATGTAGAAGAGGTTCCCTGGTAAGGAGCAGTGACCTTTGTTTGACAGTGGCCAACTCAACCTTGCAGCGAGGAAAGCAGGAGAATAACAATCCTGGCCTCATTCTCCTCCCTCCTACTTGACCTCATGCTGGAGTTCCCCACTGGCCAAACCAACCAGCAGCCAGAGGACAAGGAAATGAGTTAAAATAATCTTAGAGCTCAGCCTGCCAACCTGAAAGGGTGGAGAAGGATGGAGAGTAGGTCTATAAAAATAAACGGTTTCGATCTAGCACAATAACTCTGTAATGGATTTATCTCTTTGTTCATCAGTGTCCCTCATTAGACTGAGTTGAGGACAGAGAATGTTTCCTTTATTTCTGTATCCTCAGTATCTAACATATACTAGATAATAAATGCTTGTTGATTGAATCAGAGAATATGGTGAATTGGACATTACTTGGAGGACTACACTTTCTGATCGTGCCACATGCTCTTTGGAATCCAGGGGGAAATGTAGAACAGAATGAGCTTTATAATTTTCATTGTATGACAAAAAAGAAAAGTCATTTGGTCAAGAAAGATGAGTTCTCTTAGTGCTCAGTGCAGGGAGGAATTGGAATCAGTCACGTGGCTGCCTACATAAGAGACACTCAACTGCATAATGGGCAGTATCTTCAACAGGGAAACCACAGATGCAGAAACACTCTTCACGGGGCCATTTAAAAATATTAGGCCTTGATAAAAGCCAAAGGCATGTTATTAAAAAGTAACTCAAAGGTGAACTGAGCTAATGTGGTCCACTTAGATTGATCTTAGAATATCTTGCCTAAAAATGATTAAGCCTTAGACTTCAAACCTGATCTCCTAGACAAACCTCCAGTGCAGTCCTCTCTGGATTTTCTCTTCTCTCACCAGCCAAGAGAAGACAAAGATCCACGGAGAAACTCAAACACACTGAGGGACCACGGATCCATTACAGGGCAGAAGCCTGGGTCCCTGAATGATTATGTGGAGCCAAGCCCTCTCTCCACCCCTTGCAAACATTTGTGCTGATAGCAAGAAATAAATCTGTAATGTGTTAAAACTCTGAGATTTGTTGGGTTTTACAGCAGCAGTTATTTTACCATGACTAATACACATATAAAATAATGTTCTAAATTCTACACTTGAGTTTGTTTTAAAAGCTATCACCATGATTATCATAATCCATAGTCCATAACATAATCAGTTATTTTTATGGAAGTTCTTTCCAGTTTGAATCTCATAATTTGATGATTATTGTATCGCTGTCTTGCATTTGAGAGATGTCCCTCAGAGCCCTTCTTGCTTGGAACATGATAGAAAATGTAATACCAACATTCTGACATTTTGTATAATGTGTAAAGCCCTATTTCATGCATTATCTCTTTATAGTCTCCCAGCAACTCTGAGGAATATGCAAGGGTCTATTATTGTCCCCATTTTGCAGGTGATGAAACTGAGACTAAGAAGGTTAAGCATAAAGTGGAACAAACAACTGATTTACAGAGTTATTTGAAGATTAAGCAAGAGACTAATTTAGTCTGCCCAGCATCTGGCACATATTAAAAGTTACATTTACTTATTTCCTTTCTAATTATCTATTGCTGTGTAACAAACCACCCCAAAATAATGACTTAAAACAGTAACAATCATTTATTCTGCTCACAGATCTTGGGCTGTGCAAACACCAATAGCTGAGAGTTGGGGGTAGGGCTGGAACAGCTGGCTTCCTCCCGCTTCTCTCTTTCTGTGGTCTCTCCACATGGCCTCTCCACGTGGCAGTCCCAGGGTAACCATGGCAGCTGAAGGCTTCAAGAGCGAGTGGAGAGAGCAAGAGTGAGAGGCAGAGGGAGAAAGAAAGAGAGAGAGTGAGAGAGAGAGAGAGAGAGAGAGGGAGAGAGGGAGAGAGGGTCAGGCAGAAGCTCTAACGCCTTATGACCCATCCTTGGAGGGACATTATACTGCGTCACTTCCACCACGTTTTATTTTAGAAGCAAGCCACTAGGGCCAACTCATATTCATGGGGAGAAGAATTAGACTCCACTTCTTGATTGAATTTTTGGCCATGTTTTTCAACTACCACATTTTCCCCTCTCTAGAATCCTTGCCTAAATTGGTGCAGACATAAAGCTCAGAGGTAAGGGACACATCCAGGGTCATTCAGCTGTTAAATGGTTCCACCAATATTAGGTCCAATTTTGTGACCCCCAAGTCCATGCTCCTTTTCACTACTCCGGAAAATCCTCTGTGATCAGCATGTTGACTAGGGTAGGTAGGACATACTAGTCCCCAAACAGAGCCAATCCTTCTCATTGCCTCGGAAAACACACATTTATTTTGGAGGAAAAATATTACCCATAAAGCAGTCATCCATAGACACATTCCAAGTTTGTCTGAAACATCTGTGTTTTTAATTGCTCCCCCCAACAGATGTATTCATTTGCATTTCCCCCAGATGAATCACTTTTTTGTTATTTTGGACTGTATTTCTCACCTTTCAAGATCCTTTTGTATTAATTCTCAAACTCACCACTTAGGTTGATAGCAATTTGGATACCTCCCAGTTTGGAACCTTCCCTTGATTCCATCTCATGAATATGTGCCCTTCCTGTGGGCCATTAAATGAAAGGTTCTTTAAGACTAGGGTCTGACATAAGGTCTGAGAGGCATTTTTTTTTCAAGAGGCCAAATCTCTATGGTTGAAAATTTCTGCTGAACCAAAGAGAATTTAAATCATCTCGTTTTAGAAAATCTGGGCATTTGAACAATAATGTAGATCTGAACTCTCAGAGGGCTCACATATCAGTTTTTGTAATTCTAGGCAGTAAGATAGATTTCCTGTAAGAGCATTTCTCTGGGGATCTCCAGCAGTCCCTATGGGGAACCACCCTTTCTGTTTCCTCCACCCAGACGCTTGGTAGGAGCATGGGGTAAGAAGTAGAGAGAATGGACAAGGGGTCTCCGTGTAGACCACGACGGCCCTCAGAAATATAACCCCAGCCACATAGGTAGTGTTATATTTTCTAGTAGCCACATTTTAAAAAGTAAAGGGTGAAATTAATTTTACTGTATTTAAACCAATATATCCAAAATACTAGCATTTAAACATGTAATTAAAATAAAAATATTCACGATATATTTTTTTCTTATTTCCATACTGTCTTGGAATATTTCACACTTACTGCACTGTTCATTTGGGACCAGCCACGTTTCAACTCATCAACAGCCAATGCCGCATTAGACAGCACACATAAACTCTTCGTTTCTGTTGCTTCATTAGGCCTCTGAGACCTCAATCCTTTCTTCTCGGGTTGCATACCTTCTTACAGTTCAGGTCTCAGCTCAAAACACCTATCCCGGAAAGGAACCCCATCTAATGCGGCCCCGCTCCCCGTCACTCTCGATCCCGTTACCCTGTTTTAGTCTCCATAGACCTGATCCCTTCTAAAATGAGCTCATTTATTTGCTTACAGATTTATTGCCTATCTTCTCCGCCAGAATGTAAGTTTGACGAGGGCAGGGATTTTTTGAAACCTATTTTGGTCTGCGATTTCCCGGTGCGGAGCACAGCGTCTGGCACACGCCGGGCGCTCAGTACACATTTGCAGGACGAAAGAAGCGCACTCCTCCGGAACCCAGCCGGAGGGGGCCGCGTGGCGTCGTGTCACAGGTGCGGCGCCCCCCGCGCGCGGCCGCGCTCGCTCGGCTCCGGGCGTGGGTGTGGGGGAGTGGGTGTGCGCGGGGGTGTGCGCGGGGGTGTGCGCGG